ATGTTCATTTTTTTGAAGTTCTGTCACTGCAGGAGTGATGAGTCAGAGCCGGGGGAATTGTTGTGACTTGCTCCACCTATTAGAACAAGCCAAACAATTTGAGGGTTGGTGCTAGTTTGTCAGGGGCTTATTTATCCTGGGGGAGAGTGGACTGCAATTTGCATGACCACATAGTGCAGACCTTTATTCATGAAGCTGACCTCAAGTAAGGCAAGCAATTTCTTGGTCTAACTATGCTATAATTCAGCCATGTGTCTACCCAGTGGGCAAGCTCAGTTCTAGAAGAAATTAAGCCTGGAATGACAAGATGTATGAGGAACCAGGGCTGAAATAAATGGACAGGACTGAATGAAAGATTTAGAAGCAGATGAAAGAGTGTGTACTCAGTGGAAGGATGGAAAGGCTAGGCAGAATTACTGAGGGAGGGGACATTGTTGCTCTTCGGAATCTGAGGGTTTTTTTCTCATTTTCTCACTATAAGAATAGCATCTGGGGGCTGGGAAGGTGGCTCAGTGGTAGAGCGCTCGCCTTGCATGCCTGAGGCCCTGGGTTCCATACCCCAGCACCACATAAGCAAAAAGAAAAAAGCCAGAAGTGGCACTGTGGCTCAAGTGGTAGAGTACTAGCCTTGAGCTGAAGAGCTGAGGGACAGTGCCCAGGCCCAGAGTTCAGGCCCCACGACTGGACCTAAAAAAAAAAGAATAGCATCTGCACCAGGCACCAGTGGCTCACGCCTGTAATCCTAGCTACTCAGAAGGCTGAGATCTGATGATCACAGTTCAAAGCCAGCCCACGCAGGAAAGTCCGTGAGACTCTTATCTCCAATAAACCACTAGAAAACCGGAAGTGGCACTGTGGTAGAACATTTGCCTTGAGCTGAAGAGCGCAGGGACAGCGCCTAAGCCCAGAGTCCAAGCCCCATGACCGACGCCCCCCCCCAAAAAAATAGCATCTGCAATTTAATATAAAACTTGGAGATGCAGTCACACTTATAGACTAACAGCTCAGGGTGAGCTTTCCACAATACTGCTACCTAGAGGATGCTAGAACCTTCCAGCCTATTTCTTCCTTCTATGGGGTACTTCCATTTAGGTCTGCTTTCTACTACATTTAGTGGTTGTTGAAGTGTGGTCTCTGGTCCAGCAACATACACATCATCTGAGTGCTGGGTAGAAATGCTCGTTCTCAGGCCCCAACTTAGAATAACTGATTCAGAAAGTCTAGAGAGGGACTGGGAACAGTAAATCCATTTTCTCAAGCTATTTATGTAATTTTTATGCAAATTAAAGTATGAAAAGCACTACTTTAGATGGAATTACCAGATAACTTCAAGATGAGAGAGTATGTTTTAGGAGAGAACTCAAAAAGAAAAGGCAATCAGTGGTCAAATGAATAATTTTGTGGAATTTCAACTCATGTAAAAAAAGATAGTCAAGGCTGCTGCATTTGCTCAGGCCTTCATCATCTCTTGCCTTTCGCCTCATCTACTTCAGTCTTCTCTCAACATTGCTACTAGAGATATATGCTCAACCTGAAACTCTGACCTGTCAAACTCAATTTAAACTCATCCGTGGCTATGCCCTGCTCAAGGATAAAGTTCCAAGCCTTGGCATAGAACCATGGTCCTCCATTATCTGCCTCTGGCCATTTCCCTGACCTGATTTCCTTCTGTACCTTCCTATCTATTCACTATCTGCAGGAAGCTTACACTTGCTTCCTCAGACCTCTGACATCAAGCCTGGCCACGTGATTGACCTTAATCAACACTTAAAAAAAAAGGTGAAGAGTTGTCACCTCTGAGCAGACTTTGTCATAGTTTTGTTCTTTCCCTTTGCCATAAATGACACTGTCCCAGAGAGAGACTATATTCTTTAAGCTTAGTGGGACCTAAATACAGACAGATGAGATGCTAAGTTACAAAAGACCTACTAGGACATGCAGCCTCAGTGGGGAGGGGGAAAAAAAATCCATGTTGCTGTCAACCCCTGAGATTAGGAGTTATTTGTTATTTAGCCTAGACTAAGAACAACGATAATACTTCTCATCATTCCTCTTGGCATGGAATGTCTTCTCTCTCTGCTTACCCTTCCTTCCAATCCTACCCCATCCAGGCTGCCTAATGAACTTATTCATCCTACACTTAGCTCCAGGGTTACCCTCAATCAAGCCTTTATCCTTCCCAGGACTGAATGATCACTCACTTTTAGGGCCTCCTCTAGATGCTACTGATCTAGAACTATACCCTCCAAACAGTGCTAGGGCCTTCCTGTTTATTAACACTATTGTTAGAGTAGTGTTTCCTTACTATTGTAATAAAATAGTAATAACAGCATGTATCTACAGCTTACAGAAGAGTTTTGGTTCAGAGAAGCAAAGCAGCTTGTACAAGTTTGCTAAGTTCTTACTAGGTAGGAGCCTGGCCCTGAACTCGGCCATCTGCCCCAGGCCACACCCCTCTGTCCTCCCTTCAGACCCTCCCCTCCGTCAGCAACTGAAAGGACCACCACACAAATTTGACACTTTCAAGATTTGTAACTGGGAGGGTTCTTCTGAATCTCGGGGAAGATTGTCACTTTCTCTAAATGGGTTTATTTATTCTAAAGCACCTAAAAAACTCTAGGAGAACTAGGGCAGTGTGCCTGTCCTGTCCCCAGGTCCCAGGCTGCAGAAGTAAAGCAGCATGATACAGCAAGCACACTATTCCCGCTGAAAGGGGGAATAAGGGAAACCTTATTTACCTTATTTACAGAGTAGGAAGCAAGGAGCAGAGGGTTCAGAAATAGAATCAAGTCTGCTACATGTTGAAATTTTAGGTGTTTTCTTTCAAAGTAATTGGGAGCCACACATGGATGGCTCACACGTGTAATCCTAGCTACTCAGCAGGCTGAGATCTGAAGATCATAGTTCAAAGCCAGCCGAGGAACAAAACTCTGTGACACTCTTTTAACTCCAATTAATTACCAGAAAACTAGAAATGGTGCTCTGGCTCAAATTGGTAGAGTGCTAGCCTTGAATGAAAGAGCTCAGGGACAGCTCCTAGGCCCTAAGTTCAAGCCCCAAAACCAAACAACAATAATAACAAAAATTAATGGGGGCCAAGTGTTTATTTGATTCTTCAGATTAAATAAGGAAAGACAAATGATACCACAGCAAAAGATTTAACTGGACTGCACAAGTCAGACATGGGGTTAACTGGCTGAGAGTAGCAAACACAGTTTTAGGTTTCTATGAGCTGCTGTTCTGTGGTTGAAGAGTTTGTTTTTTTCCCTCTCTCCCCCCTCCTTTATCTCTTCCTTTTTAACTTTAAGGAGTAGAAAGTATGCAAACCTAAAAATATACCCTGACTCAGTCTTACTAAACAAAAAATTAGTATTCAGTAAAGTACCACAATATTTTCTTTTTTTTTTTTTTCTTTTGTGGGGCCTAAACTCTGGGCCTGGACACTGTCCCTCAGCTCTTCAGCTCAAGGCTAGCGTTCTACCACTCAAACCACAGCGCCACGTCCAGCTTTTTCTGCTTATATGGTGCTGAGGAATCTAATCCAGGGCCTTATGCATGCAAGGCAAGCACTCTACCACTGAGTCACCTTCCCAGCCCCACAATATTCTTTTCATATAAGGATTACAAAGCTTTGGTTAGGAGTTACAAAGCTTTGGTTAGGAGTTACAAAGCTTTGGTTAGGAGTTGGAATCCATGTATGTATCATTCTTCCAATGGAGAGGTTCCCCCCACCCCCTCTTCCCTAAAGGATATATTACCTTTAAACGATACCATCAGTAACATTAATCGCATTTTCCCTCTTCAAGTGCAGAAAGCTGTTCAGAGCTCCAAATGGCTGTTGGACCAGTTTGGACACGTCTGATTTACTCTCTAAATGAACATCCGCTTCACACAATAAATAATAAGAGCCAGCCTTTATAGAGACTACTTCAGGCTAGCTGTGCTGGATGTTTGGGGGGGACAGGGGTTCGCGTAATCCTCAAAACAACACGTGCAAGTTATCGCCACTTCGCAGATGAAGAGAGGGAGACCCAGGGAGCGTGAAGGAGATGAAGGAGAGAGTGAGGGAGAAGGGGGGGAGAGAGAAGGAGAAGGGAGAGGGTGGAGGAAAGCGGGCAGGGGCCAGTAGCTGCGCAGACCATAGTTAATCATTCACACACAGCCCTCCGGGCAGCTCTTTTTTCAGTAGGGGCGGAACACGAACACGAATACGAACACACACACACACACACACACACACGAATCGTCTTCAACTCTCTTTTCAGTAGGAGCGGAACACGAACACACACACACACACACACACACACACACAAACGAATCGTCTTCAACTCTCTTTTCAGTAGGAGCGGAACACGAACACACACACACACACACACACACACACACACACGAATCGTCTTCAACTCCTCATCCCAGCGAGAGGCGGTGTCCAGCAAATTGCTTGGCAACGGGCGCAGGAAACTCCATCCAAAAGCCCTGGGTCCCGGCGGCCTCTGGGCGCTGTCCAGCGGGCAGCGCGCCTGAGAGTCTGGGCTGGGGGGTCCCTGTCTCAGGACACCCCGAGGATGGGGCAGAAGGCCAAAGGCCGGGGATCTGCGTCCACGCGGGGGAGGGGGAGGTAGGAAGCCCCGACCCCAGGGACACCTGTTGTCGCCTTTCCCACTCAGGCCGGCGGCGGCGGGGGCGAGCTGGGCCCCGGGAAAGGCGCCGGTGGACCTGAAGTGCGGCGCAGAGCTGCGGGGGGTGGCAGCGCGGGTGCGGGGGACACAGGTGCGCTCACCCCCGCTCCCCTGGGGCGTCCTCACCTCACGCCTCCCCCGGCAGGGCGCGCGCGGCGGGCGCCAACCCCGCGCCTCCTGCTCTCCGGGGATGCGCGCCAGCAGCGCCGCGGCGCTAGGACCCCGCGGCCCGGCCCCCTCCCCGGTGCCCGCACTCCACCTGAGGGGCTTTTTCGCCCTCGGCGTGCTCAGCCCCGCGCCGCGACCGGCGGGCTCCGTTACCTGCGGCGCACTCCGCCCGGTCCCGGAGCGTCGGGCTGCAGGTCCTCAGGGGCACCGCCGGCGGGTTCCGGCCCGGTAATCCCCACCCGCCGCGCTGCCCTCGGCGCGCTCCCTTCACGGCCGCAGCGCCGCGGTCCGCTCCCGACTCCGGGCTCGCTCCGCGCCCGCCGGCTCCTAGCGCTGCTCCTGCCGTTCCTGATTGGCCGAGGCGCGCGCCCGAGACGCACTCTGATTGGACAGATGCGAGGCAGGGCGGGGAGGAGTCGGTGGGGGCGGGGCGATGGGCGGGGCGCCTCCCGGGTCTGGTTTTCTAGCCTCGCGCGCCTTGCCTCGAAAGCCCAAAGCAGAATCTGGTCAGCTTTACGCCGCCAAATGGATGGAGTCGTCCGGTCTGCACCGGCCAGATACTGCTAAAACACTAGTGGCAGGGAATGACTCCCACCTTGGTAGTCAGGGACCTCCAAGGGGTGGGTGTCGTTACTCCCATGTCACGTTTGCACTTCAGCTTTGTTACTTTTTACTCTAAGAACTGCACATGGCTCAGGACAGACGCTGGTACACATCAGGCGCCAAATAATGTACCCTGAACTCTTCGCGCGCTCTGTGGTCCTGCCATCCCGCTGTACTGGGGAAGCCACCCTGTGTCCAAGGTCCTAAGCACATCAACAGAGAAATGTAAGAAGCTTGTGCCACTGCCCGGCGCTGGTGGCGCACGCCTGTCATCCAAGCTACTCAAGAGGCTGAGATCTGAGGGCTTCAAAGCCAACCTGGAAGAGAAAAGTCTGTGAGATTCTTATCTCCGGTTAACCAACAAAATCCTGGAAGAGGAGATTTGGGCTCAACTAGTAGAGTGCTAGCCTTGAGCTGAAGGACAAAGCCAAATGATGCCCTGAGTTCTATCCCCAGTACCAGCACAAGACAAAGAGCCAGAGCCAGAGAGACACAGACACTGAGAAGGACAAAGGCAGACAGAGACAGGGAGACAGGGAGAGATGGTCACCTGTGCTGAGAGACATAGGGACAAGTGACACCAGTTCTGAGTATGGGAAGATTTTCATCTGGAAGATGCCACAGTGTCCACTCAGAACAGAGGGACACACACTAGAACAGAGGGGGAGTATCAGCGATTATAATTGTTCCATCTTCCATCTCTTCTCCCACAATGCTTTAGCCTTCTCCACATTTCCCCCTACCCTCAGATCTCAGCCTCCTGAGTAGCTAGGATTATAGAGTCTTTCTGAAAAATAAAAGCAAATGCTTCAAATCTGCTGCTACTAGACTTCTCTTCTGTCACCTTTAAAAACACCCTGATAGACAATAAGACAAGTAAATAGCACCGAATGTATATGTATGTATATATATATATATATATATATATATGAATTTTCTACAGGTATTTTTTCTCCTTCTATGCTCCTATTCACCTTTGAGTGAAAAAGTTCCTATGAAACAAGTACTTAACCACCCACACCAAAAAAACAGCTTCACCTACACTGAATAGTCTTAGCTCCTACCCTATTATGAGTCAGCCATGTACTTTGAGAGGCTTGAATCCCTAGAAGGGATTGGATCCATTTTTTTCCAGTTTATATTCATGGATAAACAATACATTAAGGTTGTATTCCAAAGGTCGGCTGGGCATAGGGCATAAGCCGGGTAGAAACCATGTGAAGAAAGTTCGTTCAGAGTTTTGTTCAGTCCAAGCCTCAGAAGCATATGAACATGCTAACTTATCACTCTGGTTTCTCACTTTAGAAAAAGCAACAGCTATTTTTTTTAATAAGTGAGCAACCAGAGTGATGAGTTAGCGTGGATTACTCAAGCATTCTCTCCAAGGAAGAGAGGCTTGTTTCAGCCAGAGAATGGAAATGACTCAAGATGATGTGTCAAACTGCTCCATCCTAGATGCAGCCCACTAAGCAGCCCAGGGACGACCAATAGAAGGATGGAAAGTGAGGGGAAGATGAAAGAAGATTCTAGATCCCACAACAAGCACCACAGAATCTTCTTGTAAACAAGAACCACATAGTTCTATTCCTTGTGTCTAGAAATCTGCCTCCTACACCACGTGTCTTCTTTGGTGATTCTTACATAGCACTCAAGACCAAGACCTTCCTCTGTAGGCCTTCACTAATTCTCCCAAGCACAAAGTAATAGCGTTCTAGTGATTTAGTTGCATGATTTTTTTTTCCAATGACAGGACTATGCATTACTTGATAGTGTAAACCCTCTACTAGACATAATGGTGCATGTCTATAATCCCAGCTCCTTGGGAAGTGAAGGCAAGGGGCAGAAGTATCAGTGTACTAGCCCAACTAAAAGTGGAAATTTTGGGCTGGGAAGAGTGGCTCAGTGGTAGAGTGCTTGCCTTGCATGCATGAGACCCTGGGTTCTTTTCCTTAGCACCACATAAGAAGAAAAAGCCGGAAGTGGCGCTGTGGCTCAAGTGGTAGAGCACTAGCCTTGAGCTGAAGAGCTGAGGACAACACCCAGGGAGTTCAGGCCCAACGACCAACAAAAATTAAAAATTAAAAAAAATTCAAATTTAGGCACTGGTGGCTCACATCTGTAATCCTAGCTACTTAGTAGGCGAAGATCTGAGGATCCAACTTCAAAGCCAGCCTAGGCAGGAAAGTCTGTGAAACTTTTAGCTCTAATTAACCACCAGAAAAACCAGAAATGGTGCTATGGCTCAAAATGGTAGAATGATAGCTTTGAACAAAAGGGCTCAGTGATTATACTCAAGCCCCAAGTTCAAGTCCCATGACTGACAAAAAATGAAAAAGAAAGAAAAGAAAAATTTTTGAACTTAGAGTTACCATTTAAGTCAGTAATTCCACACATAAGAATGTAAGCAAGAAAACTGCATGCCTATGTTCACACAAAGATGTTCACAGTGATGTTTGTAGCACCACTATTGATTATAGTTGAAAAGCATAAAGACCCAAACATCCATCAATTGATGACAAATTAAAAAATATAATAAAATATAGTAAAGCCATCTGAATATTATTCAACCATAGAAACAAAGAAACAAGTGAGGTATTGATGATGTAATCACATATCTAAGAATCCTGAAAATGTTATGCTAAGTACAAGAAACCAGACACACAAGGTTATGTACTGTATAGCTCCAATCCTATTCAATATCTAAAATGGGCAAATCTGTAGTTGGTTTTCAGGGAGTGGCAAGTGGAGATATAGGGGTGAGGTGCTTAACAGAGATGTTCTTAATTAGATAGTGGTTCTGGTTATATGGCAGTGGGTTTTTTTAAAAAAAACACTGAATTAAAAAATGTATACTGTATATATCTGAAAATGTAGATCTATTAATGAGAGACAATTCAATTAAATGCCAAGCTGTAGTAGGTAAAAGTATCAAAGTGTGGAGAAGCTTTCTGTGCTATGGCTTCAATGGGTTCATTTATCTTTCTTAACTCCCCTCTTCACCAACCCAGTGGAGATTTACTCCTTAGGTCTGTGTTATCTAAAGTTGAATATTCCATGATACTAGACATGTTCTTCATCTGAGCTGTTTAATATGACAGCTTCCAGGCACACATGGCTACTTATTTACAATTCATTTAGTTATAATTTATAAATAACAATTTTAATTCTAAAAAGAGGACAGAGATACATTCCACTTGTTTCTTTCCTTGTACTGTTTCTTTGGCTTTAACTGTCATGTTTTTAGGTTGGTTTTGGTTTGGTTTGGTTTTGTGCTGGTCCAGAGGCTTGAACACAGGGCCAGGGCATTGTCCCTGAGCCTTTTTGCTCAAGGCTAGTGCTCTACCACTTGAGCCACAGCTCTCCTTTCTACTAATTAGGTGACTAATTGAAGATAAGAGTCTCACAGGCTGGCTTTGAACCACTGTCCTCAGATCTTAGCCTCCTGAGTAGCTAAGATTACAGGCATGATCTACCAGCATCCATCTAAAATGTCATGTTGATCATTAAAACTCCTAAGTATTTTTCTGCTTCTTCAACATCCAGGATTTATTTTTATTTATTTATTTATTTTGTTGGTCGTGGGGCTTGAACTCTGGGCCTGGGCGCTGTCCCTCAGCTCTTCAGCTCAAGGCGAGCGCTCTACCACTTGAGCTACAGTGCCACTTCTGGTTTTCTGGTGGTTTATTGGAGATAGGAGTCTCAAGGTCTTTCCTGCCCAGGCTGGCTTAGAACCGCGATCCTCAGATCTCAGCCTCCAGAGTAGCTAGGATTACAGGCGTGAGCCACCAGCGCCCGGCCCAGGATTTATTTTTTTCCTACTCCTATCCCTTGAGATCTCTCCCTCCCGCCCCCCCCGCCCCGTGTCTTTCTCTCTCTCTTCCCTCACTTGTATATTTTCTGACATCTTCAATAGATGTATTTTTGAAGGAAAAGTGAACGAAAGCAAGGGAGATGACTTTAAACACTTATAATTTATGAACACAAATCTGCATTTCATTGTACACCTGTCTTAAGGATAAAAGGATAGACAGAGGGCTGGGAAGGTGGCTCAGTGGTAGAGTGCTTGCCTTGCACACATGAGGCCCTGGGTTCGATTCCTCAGCACCACATAAGCAGGGAAAAAAAGCCGGCGCTGTGGCTCAAGTGGTAGAGCGCTAGCCTTGAGCTGAAGAGCTGAGGGACAGCGCCCAGGCCCAGAGTTCAGGCCCCACAACTGGACCTCCCCCCCCCAAAAAAAAGAAGGATGGACAGAATAACTTGGAGAGATGGTGCCTCTCTTAGTAGTAAGAGGAAGAAAACAAAAGGAACAGCAAACTACCCTCTTTTCAGAAAGAGCTCTAGCCTGGGCTGGGAATGTGCTTAATTGTAGAGTGCTCCCTTAGCATGCATGAAGCCCTGGGGTTCGATTCCTCAGCACCACACTAGCAGAAAAAGCCGGAAGTGGCGCTGTGGCTCAAGTGGTAGAGCGCTAGCCTTGAGCTGAAGAGCTGAGGGACAGCGCCCAGGCCCAGAGTTCAGGCCCCACAACTGGACCTCCCCCCCCAAAAAAAAAGAAGGATGGACAGAATAACTTGGAGAGATGGTGCCTCTCTTAGTAGTAAGAGGAAGAAAACTAAAGGAACAGCAAACTAC